CATGAGGCAGGTTATTTTTGTGTAGCAATGATGGCAGGAAATGGGAAATCTATACTAGGAGCATGGCATCAGCAAAATATGAGGCTCATCTACGATCTCAACAGCAATGCGCTCCAATTTACTCCTGAAATTTGTGCTAATGACCATCCTTAATGGATTGTATTCTTCTCAGCTTTATTTCTTCTTTTCTTTGGTTCCTTTTACTTTTGCATTTCAGTTGCCTGTTTAGTGCTGTGAAATTTCTTAATAATTTTTTGGAACCAAGTTTTTGCTTCTTCAATAAATTGTGCAACATAAGATATTATATAGCCTCATCGAAAAATATATAAATTGTGCAATCGATACCTAGTATGTTTAATTTGAGCCTGCATGTAGTTCTTTTGGGCCTTTGGACCCACTCTACCAAAAAATAGTGTTTTTTATCCCCCCAAAACCTCACTCCTCCTTTTTAGTACAAGCAATTGGGGAAGGGAGTTTACACAAGTTATCATTGGGTGCCTGGTGCCTTCGAACCTCCAACCACATAGGTGAAGATAGAAGAGCTCAACCAACAAAGCTATAGCCCACTGACCTTCCTCATAAATACCTAGATATTTGTTTAATTTAATCAAATCCTTAGTTTGTCTGTTAGTAGAAAATTAAGGGCTTTAGGCTCGCAACCAAGAAGTCTACAGACTTGTTGAAATCCAAAATGACCAAGAAGAAAGGAAATTACGGAAATTGGTACATATATTTCCTACCAGTATTTGGAAACCTTTTCCATTTAGAAATGGGCTTAAACACAAGGTATTTATATGCAAGGCCACACACACTACCTTTCACGCAAAATTTCAGTCAGCTATCACTTGATCTCTTTGTGCTGTTTAATTAGCCCCCCTTTGTTTTCTAGTCACGGCTTTGATGAAAAGTATTACACTGATATTTTTGGTGACAACGGCTCTCTTTGGTGTTTGTTTTGGTGCTGTTTATAGAGTTGGTGACTCCAATGGGTGGACTTCTAGAGGCCTTGTTGATTACAATGAGTGGGCTTCAACAAAAGACTTCCATGTCAACGACACCCTCATATTTAGTTACAACAATCAATTCCATAACGTGATGCAAGTTACCAACCAAGATTTCCAATCTTGCAAAACAACCTCTGCTATGGCAACCTACACCTCTGGCTTTGACACTGTCCCTTAATAGGCCAGGCCATTTTTACTTTCTCTGTGGTACTCCTGGCCATTGCCAAGCCGGAAAAAATGTCGATATCAACGTCACGTTGCCTATATCTACAGATGGCTCGTTTGCAAGCCCAAGCCCGGCACCTTAGAGCATCCACAATGGGTTCCCTAAACCACATCCTTAGACAAATTTTGGGGAGGATTTGGAAAAATACAACTCCAATTATACTCCTTATCTACCTCCTAAAATAGGGAGACTTCTAGGAGCTCCTAAATATGAGGAGAGAAAAAGGACTCCTAGTGCCTCCCTATAATTTAATGCTATTTTATTTAATGAGTATTTCAAACCTTTAATTAATGTTTATTATTATTTATATTATTTTTCAATAAAGACAGACCAATTAAAAAAGAGTTATAGCATTTATGACTCCCTAAACTAGAGAGCACGATTAGAGTTTAAATTTTATAGAGAGCTCATAAACTAACTTTTATATGTTTTTGGCTAAAATTTAAATAAAAAAATAGAGAGCATGATTGTGGATGCTCTTATGGAGCTCACCTTCTTCTGAAGTGGTGTTTCTAAGCAGTGCTTCTACTCTTCGTCTTTCGAAGCTTGAGTTCACCACTGTTGTGTTATGTGTTTTGGGTTTTGTACTTTAGACAGGTTTCTTAATATTATTGTACGTACGGGTGTTAATGTTTCAATTCCTGGGGTAGATGAGGATGTAGGGTTTTTTTTTGGTCGGAAGATGAGGATGTAGGGTTAGGTTTGATAGATAACATTTGTCAATTTATTTGGGTTTCTATATTTTTTTGATTTGTGTCCCCGTGTCACTGCTTTGTACTACAAAATTAAACAACTAATTTGCAGCAATGAACTTTCTCATATAATTTATATATGCCACAAAAGAATGCCGAAACTTTAACTAAAAACAACCAAATCACTTTAATAAGTTTTTAGCAATAAGCCCATTTTGCATATATATATATAAAGCAAAAGGCAGAGAATGACGAAACATTCAAAATACCATAAAATGCTCTTGATTTATACAAACATTAAGAACTGAAATTATTAATTAAATGAGGATAATAAGGTAAATTCACACTTTTTCATATTAAATTTTAAAAAATAAAATAAAAGAAAAATAAGATAATGAATCATATTTTTATGGAATACAACTACTACCCATTATATTTTTGGGGATTTCACTAAAACACCCAAAATGGGGGTTGAAATTATAAAAAAAACCCAAGCACTATTTAAACATATAAACACACCCAAAACCCATCATTACACACACTCAAAACCCATTTATAAACACACCCAAAAAGTTGACTTTGGGGTTAATTTTGGGTGTGTTTCTATGTTTAAATAGTGCTTGGGTTTTTTTATAAATACATGTCTAGGATTGGGTTTATTTATAAATTTGTATATATTTTTTAATTCTAAAATAAATTTTTAATTTTTTTTTAAAAGCATCTCGTAGGGTGAATAAATACCTATTTTTATGGAATACAACTATACTATATATTATACAATTACCCATATAGAGGTTTTCCCTCCAAATAAACTCTATACGGGTAATTATATAATATATCGTGCTAAAATGGGCCCATTAGTGAAGAGCCCTTAGTTTCTACATGCGATTTTGAGAAACGTAGGTAATAAATAAATAAAGGATAAAAAAAATGACAGGACCTGCCCCGAATTCCTTGGAATCTGAGACGAATCCTGTGGAATTCTTGACATCACCCCGATGTTGGGCCCACTCACTAAAACTATAACCTCCTTTTTCCAAAAAGGAATAAGGGCACGAGACTACCGAAATTTCAGCAGAGTCTCCCTTGTAATTTGAACATTTCCCAAAATTCCAACCTGCACAAAACACATTTGATATCCCGACCGGTAGCATGCACAATGTAGTTTCATGCAATTCATAATAATCGGCCTTCGGCCTTCAAACAATCTGAAACGAAACCAAACTACCAACAAAGCCCTTAAATCAAATAATACTTTAAGCAAGGCAATTAATAAACTCAAATAATAATTATGAATACCAAACACAGCTTACCTCAACTAACTTTCCCAATTCCAGCATGCGAGGTTTTAACCTCCTAACACAATCACAAGTAGTTTAAGTCCTCAGCCTAAATCATACAACAATCTAAAACGAGTTTTAAACCTAACTTGATCACATCCACAAATTTACAACATTCACTCAGTCCAACTGAATAATAAATATTTAATCAATCAAGCCTCGTTCCATCCGAGTTTCAGGACCAACGACAAGGTCAGCACCTCACTAAATAAAACAACATGAGTAAAGTTTAGTCCACGGCTGCACCTAGGCACTACCTTAGGCTGCCTACGTACCTTTACAAAGGGATCAAGCCACACGTAGTTCTTTCAACAATAATTCTGGTTCTAATAACATACAACCCATTACAGCCATACAAATTCATACATTCTAGAATTTACTCCATTCCCTTTTTAATTTAAATCACAACTCACCAAACACAATCTTTTTCAAACCTCTTTCTAAATAATCACATAATCTCCCCATATGCCGGTACATCCAACGCCACGTATGGGGTCTGTCAACACGCCGGAAGATCCTACGCCATGTGTGACTTCTCATCTCATATCACATACTCCCTATACGCCAGAAAATCCAACGCCACGTATGGGGTCTGTCCACAAGCCAGAAAATCCTATGCCACGTGGAACCTAGCCATCATATCACATAATCTCCCCATACGCCGGAACATCGAATGTCACGTATGGGGTTTGTCAACATGCCGGAAAATCCTACGCCACGTGTGACCTATAGATCGACGCAAAAAAAAATTATTTTAACGAAGCGTGCCGCCGAACAAACCTTACCCTAACCACATAAAGCCAGAAAATTAGTGGCAGTACCTCGCACGTATATGGGTCAGTTTCCTATCCTTGCCGCTGTTGACCTCTCTCCTGTCCAGCCACAAAGCTGTTCATCTCATATTACATAATCTCCCCATACGCCGGAAAATCCAACGCCACTTATGGGGTCTGTCCACACGCCGGAAAATCATACGCCATGTGGGACCTAGCCATCATATAACATAATCTCCCCATACGCCGGAACATCCAACGCCATGTATGGGGTCTGTCAACACGTCGGAAAATCCTACGCCACATGTGACCTCTCATCTCATATCGCATACTCTCCATATGCCGAAAAATCCAACGCCACGTATGGGGTCTGTCCACACGCCGGAAAATCCTACGCCACGTGAGACCTAACAATCACAGGATGGTACTTATAGTGTAATCAAACATCTTTATAATATAAATATATATATATATATATATATATTCCTAATATTCCAAAAACCTCAACCATAAAATAGCATCCAATAATCCCCCAATTAAAAACAATAAATTAATATCCTAATCCCACATAAGCAACATAACTCAACTAACAATCAAGACCTGTCTCTACGGTCATTTTAATGAACTTGGGAAGGTGAAACTACCTTGGAAGACTCATGGTCAACCAAGGGTCAAACTACCCAAAATTGGTCAAACGGGCCCATGGGGCCCACAACCTCCAAACTCCGATCCGAAAATTCCTATGTGTTCTACAAAGCTTAGGACACGCGTTCGGCAAGTTTGGTCCAGATCGGACGGTCAGATCACTCACGATCGCATGATCAGACGGTTACTATAAACCTAGCCCTAGGGTTGGCATTTTCGGAGTATCCGAGACTTCGTTTTACAATCCGTTGAATCCTACACGATCCTAAGGATGTCCAGATTTACATATAATAAATTCAAGATCATCCAACGATTCAAACCTATAGAACCAGGATAACGCACAATGCCCTTTTTCTATAGTGCCCATGCGCTGCCACACGCGCCGATAATGGGTAGGTGTCCAAAGCGATAACCTTTTGCTGGAAAAACTCAAAATCATAGGCCAAACTTCCTACCCTAGGTTTAGGACATCACTTGGAGCCACTTTTGTTCTTGCACCAACCCCGAAAAACAAGCGGAAGTGGCAGAAATTTCACTTTGAAATTCGGCCAAAACCTAAATTCTAAATCGAGTTTCTAAACACAACTATCATCCAAATCATACACAACATGCAGCTTGAGCGTAAGGAATATGTGAGAAGTCATACCTTGGTTGCCGGAGATGGCGGCCGGAATCGACCGTAGCGACGCAGTGAACAATCGGAGAAACCAGTCGATGTCGCCGGAAAATCTCGAGCGTTCCGGCCGGCAAAAGGGGTAGGTCGTGACCGGGGCATCGAGACGAAGCGAACGGGACTGGTGTCGGCCCTTGCCGTGGTCGGAGCTGAGAGAAACAAAGAGAGAGGGAATCAGAGTCGGGGAGAGAGAGAGAGCTGCGCCTGTGTGCGCGCCAGGAGAGAGAAAGGCAGTTTTCCCTTTTTCTACACCCAAGTTCGAATTATTTACCAGTTTGCCACTGAACTAATTTTGGTCGCCAAAACTTCGTTACAACTCCGATTCAAGCCTACTGCATGTTCACGGACTTGTCTAAGTACGACCTATGTAACCAAACCACTCGTTGTCCCAAAATCCTTCTGGATAAGAAAATGACCAAATTACCCCTACCCCAAGGGTAAATTCGTAATTTCAATTAAATAATTTAAATGGGTAATTAAATTTGGGGTCGGGGTGTTACAAAAAATGAAAAAGAAAAGAAAAGCCTTTTGGTCCTTTATGGAAAAAGAAAAGAAAAATAAATGAACTTCTTGTGTGCAAGCAGTTGAGAGTTGTCGTCATAACGTGAGTGGGAGAATACATAATAGAACTTCATATTCACTCGCGCACATTAAAAATGTGTAATTTCAATAAAGAATTAAGTTAACCCTTGAACAATTTAATTATATAGGGTGAATAAATACACATTGATTGAAAAAATAATCATTCTTCGTTTTCAGTTAACCAATATATATTTGCTGCCTTGACCAAAAATAGGAATATTATTAAAAAAATACATACGTATGTATATAATATGAGTATTAAATGGGAAAATTCTAAATTTTTTTACAGGTAAAAACTCTGAAAAAGTAAAAACTAAAAAGGGGATAATAGAAACTCGAGTAATGGCCTAACAGTAATGGATAATGCTCTAAATTACTATTATTGATAAACGAAAATGAAGGAAAAGAAAAATTAATAGAAAAAGGGGTATCTACAGAGTACTGTCGTGTGGCTATACTCAATTTTTTTTATAAAATAAATAGTATACACGCTTGGCTATACATGGGTTTTTTATTTTACTAAATAGTACCGCCATGCGGCTATATTCTTTAGAGTATAGCCGGCCGGCTATACTACATATTTTAATTTTTTAATACTAAGTATAGCCGCGCGGCTATACGTATAAATATAATATTATAAACCGTATAGCAGCGCGGCTATACTATTTATTAAATTTTTTTTTTTATAAAAAAAAAAACCTCACAGTACCACTCCTAACCTCTACCACACTTCCATTCAAAACCCAGAACAGCTCCCACTTACTACTATACCAATAAATCTTTGTTTAAAATTGTCATTCTTGGTTGCAAAGAGATTGAAAAATCACCATCGCGTATTTTTGTTACAACAAGGAAGAAATAACGAATTTTATTTATCAAAATTTTGGCAAGTTACAACTAAAAAGTTAGATCACTATATGATAATTTTATTTAATTTATTTCATAAATATTATTTTTAATCAATAATATGCGAGAATTATGTGTATAATACTTGAATTTGTGTGTATTATTGAAAATTTTGTAAAAAACACCTGTATTAAAAATAAAAATATATGTACATATGTATACAAAACGTGTATTATACGTTTGCTTTTTTAAAAAAACGTGTATTTTATCGAATCTTTAGGATGTGTACATAAAATGAAAATATTGTTGAAAAATATGTATGTACGCATATAATACGAGTATTAAACGTGAAAATGCTAAATACTTTATGGGTAAAAACTCTGGAAAAGTAAAAACTAAAAAGGGGATAATAGAGACTCGGGTAATGGACTAATAGTAATGGATAATGCTCTAAACTACTTTTATTGATAAATGAAAATCACAGAAAAGAAAAAATAATAGAAAAAAGGGGTATTTAAATTGTATAGCCGCGCGGCTGTACTCAGGTTTTTTTATTTTTTTAAATAACAGTGTAGCCGGTCGGCTATACTCGGGGTTTTTATTTTATTTTTAAAAATCGTACAGCCGACCGGCTATACACTTTAAATAGAATATTTTCCCACAGTATAGCCGTGCGGCTATACCGGGGTTTTTTTAAAACTTTTAAAGACATAGTATAGGGGCATGCCTGATTAATATTGTATAGCCGTGCATCTGATTAATATTGGCATCAATTCCTTCCAATAATCGGGGCATGCCTGATTACTACAATTTAAAGTACAAATTGCTGCCAAGGATTATTGCACACTCAAACTCAACTGTTGGCTTCTTTTTTTCTTTTCGTTTAATTTTTCTATTTTTGTGATACCAGTTCATTCTGCAGTGTCTATGGATGTATGCATGCAAGGAATTAATTACACAAAGGGATCCTAATTTGATATAGCTCTCTTTTTTAATTTTTAATTTATATTTTTTTAATGTATTTTAGGTCCTTAAACAACTTGGCTCAAGTGAAAAATAGCAACAACTATATGGGCATATGCCTTTACACAATTGTTCTATGGGAACAATCCAGCTATTATCTGACAGATGAGCACTAGTTCAATTTGGATACGGATAAAAAAGAAAATGCAATTTAAATTGGGTTTTGGCCATTCAAAATTTATAATTAACTCTGTTATGAAAAATGAAAATAAAATAAATCCTATTGTAACTGCTAGTTGGAAACCTACTCCATGTTGGAGTCGGCTAATAGATACACACTATATATGCAGGGGCACCCCTAGTCTACTCTCACGTAAAACTTTCAATCAGCACTTCGTTCCTTTTACACAAATTTGATCAATCACTCGATCATTTTTCTGCTCTTTAATCCGCTCTCCATTGTTGTCTACGCATGGCTTTGGGGAAAAGTACACTGGTTTTCTTGGTTATGCTTGCTTTATGTGGTGTTTGTTTTGGTGTTGTGTATAGAGTTGGCGACTCTAGTGGGTGGTCTTCTAGAGGCCTTGTTGATTACAACGAGTGGACTTCAACAAAAGACTTCCATGTTGGCGACACACTCATATTTGCTTACAACAATCAATTCCACAACGTGATGCAAGTTACTAACCAAGATTACGAATCTTGCAACCCTACTTCTCCGATCGCAGTCTATACCTCGGGATCTGACAACATCACCCTTGATGGGCCTGGCAACTTTTACTTTTTGTGTGGTGCTCCTGGCCATTGTCAAGCCGGACAAAGGGTTGAGATCATGGCCACCCTACCTACACCAGATGGCTCTTTTGTGAGTCCAAGCCCGGCACCTTATGGACCCTCACCTTCAGCTTCTCATTCAGAAGTGTCTCCAAGCTCTGATCAAAGCAGTGGTCTTGCTCCTCATTCTGAAATGACGTCGCCAAGCTCAGCTCTAAGCATTCATTTTTCGAAACTTGGGTTGGGTGTCACCGTGTTTGTGTTATCTACTCTTTTGGGTCTTGTATTTTAGATATGTTTATTCTTAGTATAGTAGGGATGCTAATGTTTCATTCAATTCATGAGGTAGATATATAGGATGTAGTTTTAATGCTTTGACATAAAACATAGTTTTGAATAAATTGTTTGATTTATTATATTTGTTCATTCAAATGGGTTTTCAAACGTACCTGCCGAAATAAACTCCAATATATGCTTTTTTGGATTATGTCATACAAGTTATCTTTCTCATCAATACTAAAAAGAACAAGTTAAACAAGGGTGTGAATTTGTAGGTGCAATCTTGATCATAGTATTAAAGCATTAATAAAAAAACAAAAAGAAACTTTTTGTACTTAAGTTGTAAGCAGTTAAGAATTTAACTTAAACAATATTATGAGCGTCTACCTTAAACCATAGACACGTGTCAAATATTAATAAGGTGGTGAGAGAACATCTTGGGTTAAAGTGGTGAGCAAAATGCTCTCTCTGATTGTTGGTGTTGGGGGTTTTACGATCAATGAGGAAGTGTGTTAATCTTTGTGCTTATCTTCAAAATTATTATTCAACATTATAGCTCAGCATCCATGTTTTCTCTTTCGCATTATCCATACAAATTTCTTTCCTTTTATACGATTTTTTGTTTTTTTTTTCCTTTTAATGTTTGTGATTATCTTCAAAATTAAACTTTATTATTCAACATTATATCTTGACAATCGAGTTTTATAAGTGGTTGACAATGAAAGCTTCAGCCTTTTGATAAATATAAAATCAAATTAATCAATAATGAGAAATCCTCTATACAATAAATTTTCACGTTTAATGGGTTTAACATATTTATAATAATAAAATAATAAAATAACGCAATTTCTTAATAAATCAATCCAAATAAATAAAATAAAATAATTCTCAAGAACAAAATGTTTTTTATGCTTAATATATTTAATTTGATATGTGTATCTGTGTGTGTCAGGTCATCTAACCCGATAGTGACAAAAACTCTGGTAAAGATTTTGCTCCATATCGTTCTCCTTTAGTTTTCTCTCCTAACTTCTATTCATCCATGTAATTGTATCTTGAGTTATTATGTGAATGATGAGAGGGAAATATTCATCATATTTCTCCATCATATTGATTACTTTCTTATACAAGTAGCTAGCTAGGTTTTCCAAAATAGCAAAATAGAAATGGAAAGGTGTACAAGAGCTAAAAAAAACTGTAAAAGCTAGTTTAGGAATAAATTGAAGGAATGGGGAGAGTGAAGCTTCAGTTCAAGAGGATTGAGAATACGACTAATAGAGAAGTCTTTCTAAAAAAGAATACGGATAGGCTGGGTTGTTGTTCGAACTTTTTAATTTAACTCTGATAAAAAAAAAAAAAAAAAAAAAAAAAAAAAAAAAAAATTCCAATTCCAACAGTTGGAAACCTATTCCATGTTGGAGTCGGTTAATAGATGCACACATTATTTAAATGCAAGGGCATCCCATTCTACTTTCACGCAAAATTTCTGTCAGCTATCTACTTCATTCCTTTTACACAAATTTGATCTCTCTCTGCTCTGTAATTTGCTCTCCTTTGTTGTCTGCTCATGGCTTTGGGAAAAAGTAGACTGACTTTCTTGCTCATGCTGGCTTTCTTTGGCGTTTGTTTTGGTGCTGTGTATAGAGTTGGTGACTCCAATGGGTGGACTTCTAGAGGCCTTGTTGATTACAATGAGTGGGCTTCAACAAAAGACTTTTATGTCAACGATACCCTAATTTTTACTTACAACAATCAATTCCACAACGTGATGCAAGTTACTAACCAAGATTTCGAATCTTGCAACCCTACCTCTCCGGTCGCAGTCTATACCTCGGGATCTGACACCATCACCCTTGAAAGACATGGAAACTTTTACTTTATGTGTGGCGCTCCTGGCCATTGTCAAGCCGGACAAGGGTTGAGATCACGGCCACCCTACCTACACCAGATGACTCATTTGCAAGTCCAAGCCCGACACCTTATGGATCATCACCTTCAGCCTCTCATCCTGAAGTGCTTTCGCCAAGCTCAGCCCTAAGCACCAGTCCTGCTCTTCATTTTTCGAAACTTGGGTTGGGTGTCACCATGTTTGTGTTATCTACTCTTTTGGGTTTTGTATTTTAAATATGTTTCTTAATAATATAGTAGGGATCGATGTTAATGTTTCTTTCATTTCACGAGGTAGGTGAGATGTAGTTTTAATGGTTTGATGTATAACATATAGTTTTTTGAATAAATTGTTTGATATTATTATATATGTCAATTGATATGGTTTCTTCTTTTTGATTTGTATCTCTGTGTCTCAGCGGAAACTAATTGTACAGGAAAATTAAACTAAATCTACCAAAAATATACTCAAACATATGCTTCATAGGTTTTGTCATACAATTAATCTCTCTCGTCGATGCTAGAGACCTCTACTAAATTAACCAGAACTGACAAATTTAGATAGTCTGGGTCTGCCAAAAAGAAAAAAAATATTCTTGTACTTCTCACAGTTGCAAGGAAGAATTTAACTTCAACAATATATGAACATATATGTATGGCGTAAATCGGTTTGCTCTAGAGAATTGTACTATTCGTAACCCAAATTGAGGTCTTTGTTCTTTTAACTTGGCGATTGTATTTTCCTTGACATTGCTTTTGTATTTAGATTGCCATTCAAAGGACATAAATCTTTCATAATTATACATGATGAATAAAATTGCACAATCAAATAAAAATTCTTTGTTTCAGATAAAGCAATTTCTTGGCATTTTGGCTACAACAAATATATGTTTCAAGCCCCCTGACCATATGTTTCTTTCACTTTGAGACAAGTTGCACTATTCCAAATCCTCAAGGTGTTGATTAATTTCATTAGAATTCAAAACATGTATTTTCATAACAATTGATCAATGCATTTTTTTTCCCTCATTGAATCCTTTCACTAGAACCATGATCGGGGCACGGCAACAACCGCGATTTGTGTATGATCTTAATTTGCAAGCTTTTGAGGATTGCACACTTGATCGATTATTTATAAGTAAACATGCCATAAAAATTTATAAAAGAGGAGGTGATAGAAAACCAAAAAGTTTAAGAAAAAAGAAGAAGAAAGTGTTAGTATGAAATTTGTATTGTCATTTCCTAGACTCTAGCATAGGTTGGGAGTTAGTGTGTGAATATCGTTTACTAGACGTTTTGGCGCAACACATTCAATCTCAGGTTTCCAAAGCATGACTTGACCGATATGAGGAATTTGATTTCAGGTAAATCATGACATAATCATGCATTCATTATAGGATTCCTAGTTTGAGTTATTTTCACTCAAAGTATTTTTATCTTAATCTTATTTTTAATAAGATTAGATTTTATCTCTTGAGATTACTTTCCTAGTTCAACTCTATTTTAATTGAAGTTAAAATATTATCTTTTCCTATTGTGACTTTGCTTGTTGCTTACCTCTTAGTTAATTTGGTTTAAAGAGAGGCGTCATTACTTTGAGTCCAAGGTGAATCAAATCTCTTATTGATGATAGGTTGTGGTGCAATAGGAAGTTGAAGATTCGTGGCCTATTTGGTTTCTCTCCCTTGAGAGAGAACAAGTCTTGTATAAAAGATCATGTGCCATTCTTTTATTTGCAGCTTTTTGAGATATTTGTTTTCAGCATATAGAATTCTAAGAAAAGCTGCTGTGCGCATATTTGAGATAAATCATCAAGTGTTCAATGTTTACTTGGTGATTTATCAAACACTTTAATCATTCATATTGCATTCATATGCATGTCGGTGACTCATATGGTTGAGGGCACCAAGACCGTGGTGGCGGTTTTCCTCCGGTGAGCTTGAAGCAATCGTGGCCAGTATTGCGTTCAACATAAGGAGTGTCGAAGATCATCCCGTGACAGAAGTTGAGTTACGAAGAAGTCGGTAAACATTATCTAGAATGTGTCTAGGATAAGTGTGTGAGTACTTCTTGTAATCATCGTTCTATAGTGGATTTGTGTTGGACTGAGGAGTCCCGTGGATTTTCCCCAGAGGTGGGGTTTTACCACGTAAAATAATTCTCTGCGTGTTCTTTTATTTTATGCCCAGCACGTTACAGGATTGATAAGTCATATCAATCCTGCTACCGAAGTTTATTTTTATTTATTTGATTAGAATTTTAAATTGGCCTATTCACCCTCCTCTAGGCATTTTGAGTCATCCTGCAGGTATTTTCAGAAAGCATACATAGAAATGACTTGCCAGCAAAACTATATATTTTTTTTCAGAGTACAAAGCGGTTATATCTTGGACTCGAGATGTAGGAAGAGAAAGGGCCTCAATTGACGGGTGATGCAGATGTGCAAGAAGCACCATGGCATGGGTGTAAATATAACTTGATCTGTAAATTCTTAGTTGAAATGTAGCTATTATCTGACAGTATTAGTACAAATGCAATTTGGATTGGGTTTGGGCCATTCGAACTTTCAAATTAACTGTGTTGTAAAAAAAAAAAAAAAAAAAAAAAAAAAAAAAAAAAAAAAAACATATAATAATAGTAGTAGAAGTACTATTCCATGTTTCTACTCGTGCTAGTAGTATACACTAGTAAATATATATAGCATAGAAGCATCCCATTCTACATTCACGCAAAATTTCAGTAAGCTCTTCGTTCATTTTAACACAAATTTGATCAATCACTTGATCCTTTTCTGCTCTTTACCGCTCTCCTTTTTGTTGTCTACTCATGGCTTCGGAAAAAAGTACACTGATTTTCTGGGTTATGCTTGCTTTATGTGGTGTTTGTTTTGGTGCTGTGTATAGAGTTGGTGACTCCAGTGGGTGGTCTTCTAGAGGCCTTGTTGATTACAACGAGTGGACTTCAACAAAAGACTTCCATGTTGGCGACACACTCATATTTTCTTATAACAATCAATTTCACAACGTGATGCGAGTTACTGACCAAGAGTATGAATCTTGCAACCCTACCTCTCCAGTCGCAGTCTATACATCAGAATCTGACAACATCACCCTTGATGGGCCTGGCAACTTTTACTTTTTGTGTGGTGCTCCTGGTCATTGTCTAGCCGGACAAAGGGTTGAGATCACGGCTACCGTACCTACACCAGATGACTCATTTATAAGTCCAAGCCCAACACCTTACGGATCCTCTGATTCTGAAGAGTTGTCGCCAAGCTCAGCCCTAAGCAGTGGTCATGCTCTTCATTTTTCGAAACTTGAGTTGGGGGCCACCATGTTTGTGTTATCTACTCTTTTGGGATTTGTATTTTAGAGATGTGTATAGTTGGGGATGTTAATGTTTTTCATTCAATTAATGTGGATTGGATTCATGGCTTGAATATATTGTTTAAAATTATATTTGTCAGTTTATATTTGTCACTGTGTACATGATGAAAATTAAACTAAATCGCACCTGCGCAGAGAGAAACTTCATTATATGCTCTCTTGATGTCTATCACACAAGTTCTCTCTCATCAATTTAAGTTGTTGGAATACTAAAACCAACAAAAACTAAACAATGGTGTAATTTGTACTTGCAATTTTGATAGTCTAGGTCAAACTTTTTATAATATTAATGAAAAATAAAAAAGAAACTTCTTGTACTTTGAAGTTGCATGCGCTTAACAACTTCCCTCATATCATCACTCATTCAAGCATGATACTAACAGTTAGTGTGTGTGCACAACCCTAAGGAAAACCTTTCGAGGTTGTGCCAAGTGTTCTAAGGGCAAAGACGATTTCGGGAGACATCTAGCTTGCTCTGATCTCTAGCTTGTTTTGATATCTCACTATGATCTCTCGCTCTGGTCACGCCCTACCTATGATATTCTTCGTCTTTTTTGTTTTGTTTTTGATGTGGTATGCGAGCGTGTTTTGAAAAATAAAAAAGTTTTAAAAAGGTTAATTGGTCACTGATGTATTAAATTAGAGAAGTAAGGCTAACTTATGTGTTCGTCACTAACTATATAATTTAAGTTGTTTTCAGTGACTAATTTAAATACTGGTCAGAAAATTTGGTCATTAAAAATTAAAAAATAGGGGTCAATCATTTTAGTTACCATGTAGTATTATTAGTCATTAAAATTCACTGTTTTTGTGATCATTATTCATGTGGTCATAAGGAAATTGGTCACTACTGACCTTTTTCATGTAGTGCTAAGGGCCAAGACGATTTCAGAAGACATCTAGTCAACCAAGTCAACGTGGCCCACTATCTAGGTCAACTGGACACTCGGGACCTACAACCTTTGATCTTTTATCCGGACATTCCTATAGGTTCACAATTCCACTTAACTTTGAAACAACTCATCAATTCAAAACCTCAAGAATATAACCTGTATAACCTATTTCTAGAAATAATTTTTTTTTAAATATTTACCTCAATCCTCTGAATTGGTCTGAAATCCTCAATTCACCCCCAAAGGAGAACAACCACCAAAATAGCACCTGGAAACAAAGAAGCTTGTTTCATTTTGTAACCCTTCCGAGAGGGCTAAACTTGCTGGATGACTATGTATTTTGGATATGTTGTAGAGAACAAAATTCTCAAAGACTTTTGTAAAGGAAACTTTCTCATATGAGCAAGGGAAATCGACATGCAAGACAAAATTCGAGCCTATATCAACACAACAGACAACGATGAACATGTTACACTCCTATAGAATGTGTGGATGGCTATACTTTTTGGATGAAGCTCAAAGTTTGATAGATTATAGCCAAGACATAGAAAAACAACTTTCATGAAGGGTCATTAGATCATGGGAAAGCTCTATGCAAGAGTGACTAAGTTGACAATAAAGTGGAACCAGCAGATAGGAAGTATGAGAAAACTAGTCTCACTTTGAATACGATTTCAGCGGATTAAAGACCTCAATGGTCTTGCCTTTTGGATATGTTGTATCTCCCGACCTTAGAAACAACTTGTGCGAAGGACATAGGTGAAAAGAGCAATGGAAACTCACATGAAAAGCCAAATCCGTGCATAACACAAAGTACCAGGCAGAGATGAGCGGTTCATCTTCAAACTGGTTTTTCGGGTGATTATATTTCTTGGATTGGGCTAATGTTCGGATGTTCCTACTAGACAACCAGAGGAACAAGTTTGAAGAAGAAGAAATTTCGTTTTGAGTTCAGGAGAGAGGGGTTTTGAAGCAGTCAACTAGATTGACAGGTTTGGAACTTTTGAGGAGTTGGGAGAGAATTCTTTCGGAAGAGAATGGTATAATTGTGTGGGAGTTTGAAATGAAAACTGATCAGACTTGGGAACTATAAGAGACAGGCGTGGGGAATCAAAAGAGGAAGGTGTGGGAGAGTCTGACCTTGGGTTTTTAAATTTTGACTGCTCCAAAAATTTCAATTGTGCCACTGCACTCTGTTGACCACAACTTCCTCGTTAAAAAGCCAATTTGAGTCTACTACATGTCTACGAACTCGTGAGAGCGAGCTCTATAAAATGGTGCAACTCTAATTTCCAAAACTATTTCCAAATAAAAACTGACCAAAATACCTTACTTCAAGAGCAAAAATGTAACTTCGCAAAATGAAATAATTAGTCATGATGGGGTGTTACACCTTTCACGCCATTTTTTCTTGATGTGGATTTGGAGGAGATCTCAACGAGGAAGCTCAAGCGGTGCAATAACACTTTACCCTTTTTATTATATTTTAGATCCTTAGGCTCAAGTAACAAACTTCCTACAGAATTGAAAGAGACTCGAATGTTCTGTATAAAATAAAATTGCTATATCTTTGCAGGCCTTGAAAATCGAACTTGGGATGAAATTGTAGAAGAATAAGAACTATAATATATATTAGCATACACAAAATGTGTCTTGTGTACACTTAATTAAAAGAAAAGGAAAAACAAAGTCACGCAATTAGGGCATGTGCTCAGAAATCAAATCAATAGTATCAAATAGCCACAACTATATGGACCTAAATAATTATTTTGAAGGGAACAAAGTTTTTTCTGGAATCAAGCTATTATCTAGGTGCATCAAACTATTATCTGACAGTATCAGTACTAATGTAATTTGGATTGGATTTGGGTCATTTTGGTCCCCAAACCTGGATGAGGCATGAAGTCAATTTGAATCACACCCACATACGGATAAGCTGTGTCATGATTCACACTCTATAATATGATATATATTTGTTATAAAAAACTAAAAATAAAATTCCTATTCCAAAAAGTAGATGGAAACCTATTCCATGTTGGAGTCGGCTAATGGATGCACATACTATTTATACGCAAGGGCGACCCATTCTACCTTCACGCATAACTTCTTTCTTTTACACAAATTTGCTCAGTAACTTATCTCTCTCTGCTCTTAACTCGCTTTGCTTTGTTGTCTACGTAAATCATGGCTTTCAGAAAAAGTACATTGATTTTCTTGGTTATGCTTGCTTTATGTGGTGTTTGTTTTGGTGCTGTGTATAGAGTTGGTGATTCTAATGGGTGGACTTCTAGAGGCCTTGTTGATTACAACGAGTGGGCTTCAACAAAAGACTTCCATGTTAACGATACACTCATATTTGCTTACAACAATCAATTCCACAACGTGATGCAAGTTACTACCCAAGATTTTGAATCTTGCAACCCTAACCCTCCGATCGCAGTCTATACCTCGGGATCTGACACCATCACCCTTGATAAGCCTGGCAACTTTTACTTTTTGTGTGGTGCTCCTGGTCATTGTCAAGCCGGACAAAGGGTTGAGATCATGGCCACGCTACCTACGCCGGATGATTCCTCACCTTCAGCCTCTCCTACTGAAGCGATATCGGCAAGCTCTGCTCTAAGTAGTGGTCCTGCTCTTCATTTTTCGAAACTTGGGTTGGGTGTCATCATGTTTGTGTTATCTACTCTTTTGGGTTTTGTATTTTAGATATGTTTCTTAATATATATAGTAGGGATGTTAATGTTTCATTCAATTCGTGAGGTAGATGGATGTAGTTTTAATGTTTTGACTTATAACGTAGTTTTGAATAAATTGTTTGATTTATTATATTTGTCAATTTATATTGGTTTCTTCTCTTTGGTTTGTGCCCCTGTTGAATACTGAAAACAACAAATTTTTTAACAAGGGTGTAATTTGTATGTGCAATTTTGATAGTCTGAGTCCACAACTTATGTCACTAATGAAAAATAAAAAACAAACTTCTTGTACTTCAGTTGCAAGTGCTTAACAACTTTCCTCATATCATCACTCACAACATGATAATAACAGTTTGACTGTCAACTATTGGATTCCAAAATATGTAAGTTCCGAAATATTCTGAAAATGATGAGTTTTCTGAATCGGAATGGATGTTGAAATTCAGAAATTTTTTGGAACGGAATTGGGAGTTTTCATTTTGAAATTTTTTGGACTAGAATTGAAATCCCCTTATTCTGATTCGTCCAATCAAGCCTTTCAAAATTAAATTATACATGATGAATAAATTTGCACAATCAAATAAAAATTCTTTATTTTAGTCAAGCAATTTCTCGTCATTTTGGCTACAGATACAGTGGGGGCAGTGTCATAGAGAGTGGTTAATAAAGTCCTTATGGAATTCTGATAAGAAGATTCGAAGCCTATTTGGTTCTTTTTGGCCTTGAAAGAGTTCGAAATATTAGAACTTTGCCCAACTTTAGACACTAGACATGGAGGAATGGCCATTTCATTTTCAAGGTGTAGATTAATTTCATTATTAGAAACCAAATACATGTATTTTCACAACACAGAGCAATGCAATTTCCTTTTTTGCGGCATTAAATCCTTTGGCTCAAGTATTGGCAAAATAATAATAATAATAATAACTCAAGTGAAATATATCCTTTGGCTCAACTATATGGGCATAAATCATTATCTGGCCATATTCCTTTTCACAGTTGTTATATTGGAAACGAAGGTTTATCTAGCTATTATCTGACACTAACGAGTACTAATGCGATTTGGATTGGGGTTGGGTCATTCAAACTTTATAATTAACTCTGTTGTGAAAAATTACAAAAATCCTATTCCAACAAGTAGTTGGAAACCCTATTCCATGTTGGAGTCGGCTAACATACACTGTATATATGCAAGGGCACCCCATTCTACTTTCACGCAAAATTTCAGTCAGCTCTTCATTTCTTTAACATAAATTTGATCAATCACTCGATCCTTTTCTTCTTTATAATCCTCTCTCCTTTTTGTTGTCTCTACTCATGGCTTTGGGAAAAAGCCCACTGATTTGCTTGGTTATGATTGCTTTATGTGGTATTTGTTTCGGTGCTGTGTATAGAGTTGGTGACTCTAGCGGGTGGTCTTCTAGAGGCCTTGTTGATTACAACGAGTGGGCTTCAACAAAAGACTTCCATGTTGGTGACACACTTACATTTTCTTACAACAATCAATTCCATAACGTGATGCAAGTTACTAACGAAGATTATGAATCTTGCAACCCTGCTTCTCCTATCGCAGTTTATGCCTCGGGATCTGACACCATCACCCTTGAAAGGCCCGAAAACTTTTACTTTTTGTGTGGTGCTCCTGGTCATTGTCAAGCCGGACAAAGGGTTGAGATTCTGGCCACCCTACCTACACCAGATGACTCATTTACAAGTCCAAGTCCGACACCTTCAGCCTCTCCTGCTGATGCGATGTCGCCAAGCTCAGCTCTAAGTAGCGGTCCTGCTCTTCATTTTTCGGAACTTGGGTTGGGTGTCACCATGTTTGTTTTATCCACTCTTTTGGGTTTTGTATTTTAGATTTGTTTCTAATTAATACAGTAGGGATGTTATTATAGTTGTCAAAATATATAGTTTAATAAAATTGTTTGCTATATTATATGTTTGGTTTGTGTCTCTGTGTCACTGCTAAGTGAAAATTAAACTAAACCTATCTATGCAGAAATAAACTCCAATATATGCTTCTCTCATCAATTATAACTTGTTGGAGATCTCATCTAGTTCGAGAGCCTTACAGAGTTGTGACACGAGCGTTCAAAACCTATTTCCTCAGCTTTTGCCTTCAAAGAGTTTACAATTCGTCTGAAGGATTAGAACTCTGTTTTGAAGAAAAGCCGGGGTTTAGAGAGTATGCAGGAATGACATTTCATTTTCAAGGTGCTGATTTCGTTGTACAAGCATTATACATGTATCTTCACAACACTGAGAAACGCTACTTTTGTGTAGCAATGTTGCCTTCAACTGAGGGAACCGTGATCGGGGCATGGCAGCAACAAGGCACATGCTTTGTATATGATCTTAAGTCGCGACAACTCCAGTTTGCTTCCGAGGACTGCTCAAAGGACTGATTTTTATCTGTCTATTTGTGTGATGCTTTGAGATGTCAGTATATATGTAATTATCTACCGAAACTATGCATGTATGCCAGTAAAATAAGAACTAAGCGATCATCATTAAATTGAAAAGATGTCTCAAATATTGAGACTTTCAAGTTAGCAAGTGTTGCGGCAATATGATTTGGTCAAATTTGCCTTAATTAGCAAGCCAATTATGACGTGATTTGGTTGGATTACGGATATTAAAACCACATTCATCTCCATAAACTGTGTATTATACGGTAAATTGAACTCCTTACTTTATCTTGTGATGCATGCATATATAAGTTACGCCTATAGCTTCACTGGAGGATTCTGTTCCGATATTGGATAAAAACATAGTATAGCCGGCCGGCTATACTATTTCATTAAAAAAAATTGAAAAAACCCCAGTACAGTTTCTCAAAAAATTGGAAATAACCGCATATAGCCGTGCGACTATACTATTTCCTTTTTAAAAAAATTGGAAAAAACCCCGTAAAGCCAGCGGCTATACTATTTCTTTAAAAAAAAATAAGAGGCCCGTATAGCCGCACGGCTATCCTATTTCCTTTTTTAAAAATTGAAAATCCCGAGTATAGACGCTTGGCTAAACTATTTCCTTTCTTTATTTAAGAAAAAAAGGAAAAAACCCCGTATAGCCTTCTAACTATAAAATATAAATATAAAAAATCCCAGTATAGCCGGGCGGCTATACTACTTTCAAAAATTAGAAAAAAAAAAGAATTAAATACATCATATTTAAATGGTATTGCCGTGTGACTATACTATTTATATTTCATAAAAAAAAATTGAAAAAAGGACCCTCCTAGCTGCATTACTTTATAGTTTATAGATATTAATACGAATAAAATACGTATGTGTTATATTCAGTAAAATTTTGGCAAACTACAACTTAAAAGTTCCTCCGCTATGTAATATTTTAATATATATTATTTGTATTCAATAATATGTGATAATTATATGTATAATATGTGAATTTTGTAAAAAATATGTGCATTAAACATGAAAAATACATACGTAATGTTTAATATGAGTATTGTACATTCACTTTTTTTAACACATGAATTTTACCAAGTTCTTAAGACGTTTACAAAACATGGATGTAGTATTGAAATATTAATTTGGTATATAGGTGTGGCTATATTTTTTTAAAATTAAAAAAGAAAAGAAAAACCCTAGTATAACTGTATAACTACTCGGCTATACAATTTCTTTCTAAAATATAGGAAAAAATCGCATATAGCCATGCCTATACTATTTTCTTTTAAAAAAAATTGGAAAAAACCCAGAATAGCAGGTCGGCTATACTATTTCTTTTATAAAAAAATTATGAAAAAAATACCCTTCTAGTTGCATTAGTTTATACTTGATAGATATTAATTCAATACGTACATGTTTTATTCGGTCAAATTTTGAAAAATTACAACTTAAAAATTCTGCCACTATGTAATATTATAATATATATTATTTGTATTCACTAATATGTTATAATTATGTATATAATATGTGAATTTTTAAAAAAATATGTGTATTAAACATGAAAAATACATCCATAATGTTCAATAAGAGTATTGTACCTTCGCTTTTGAAAAAACGTGAATTTTACCAAGTCCTTATAACGTTTATAAAATACGGATGTAGGATTGAAATATTATCTTGGTATAGCGGTGTGGCTATATATATTTTTTTTTGAAAAAATTGGAAAAAAACAAAACCTAGTATAGCCGCCCGGCTATTCTATTTCTTAAAAAAAAAACTCAGTATAGCCGTTCGGTAATACTATTTCTTTCTAAAAAAAAATATTAAAACCAGAGTATAGCTTGGCGGCTATAATATTTCTTTAAAAAAAACATGGAAAAACCCAGTACAGCCGGGGTGGCTATACGTTTTGTTTAAGAAAAAAACGAGTATAGCCAGTCGGCTATACTATTCAGTGAAAAAATAATTAAAAAACCATTATAGCCGGGCGGCTATACAATTTCTTCCTTAAAAATGGGAAAAAACCCTGTATAGTCGTTTAAAAAAGGGAGTTTCACTAAAACACCCAAAATGGAGGTTGAAATTATAAAAAAACCCAACACCCAAAACACTTTATAAACACACCCAAAACTCATCATTACACACACTCAAAACCCATTTATAAACACACCCAAAAAGTTGACTTTGGGGTTGATTTTGGGTGTGTTTCTATGTTTAAATAGTGCTTGGGTTTTTTTATAAATACATGTCTAGGATTGGGTTTATTTATAAATTTGTATTTAAAAAATTGGCAAAAACACGGTGTAGCCTAGCGGCTATACTATTTCTTTTAATACCTTAAGAGCAATTGAAAAACCCCGTATAGCCGTGCGGCTATACTATTTCTTTTAAGAGGGGGTCAAAACGGGGAAAACACAAAGCAATCAGCCAAGGATAAAATTGTGATTTGACTGTACAAGGAAAGAAAAGGAGCTGGCTGAACAGTTAAAAATAGAGGCATTTTCGTAAATTTACTGTGCTTAGCTACGGGATCAATTGGATTGGGCTTTAGTATATATACAATTTAAGGGTTAAGATGATTTGAATGAAATCTAATTTCAGTGCATGTATTTAAGTTCAAGGTCAAAGTTTTAGGAAGGAAACTAATCTGGAGGATCCATCTCTTTCTGGAAAAAGTGAGGACATTGGAGGAAGATAAAATGTTTTCCAAACTGACCAAAATAATTTATGTTTCTCCAAACCAGCTTGGTTTTATGTTATAACCTATAAGTGCATGTCATACACATGGCAGAAGCAGAACAACACGCAAACTCGGGACAGAAGAAAAGCAAAACATGAGCTACACAGAGCAGCCACTCCTGAAAAGCTTTGAAGTGTCTGAATTTAGGTTCTCAAAACAACAGATCGCTATTTTTAAGTGCATGTTATACACATGGCAGCAGAAGGTGTTGTATGACTGAAGACCAGGATTTAAGAGGCTAAATAGCTGCAGGATTGTCTCATCACTTAAATTAAGAACCATATTCTTTTTTCTTTTTTTTAAATTAAAATTTTAAAATTTTCAATAAAGCTCATTGCCACAGAGAACCATCTGTCCCAGTTTGGATACTCTTGGTCTTGGTAGAGGCTCAAATGGCTAGGAAGCTAAGTAAGCCTTCACTACTGAAACAATCATTTTTCAAGGTCCTGCTTGGCGACTTCTATCAGCATCTGGTAACATGCATCCTACCTTCTTTTCCACTTTTTCAAGTTCAATTCTTATATTCATGATCGAATGCAAGATTTCCCTTCTTCTTTTTTGGTTCATTTGAATAAGATCTTAACTTTCTGTATGTGTTCAAGTTTAATCAGTATATTACATTCAGAGTGATGCACACAAATTTCAGTTGAAAGGTTAACTACCCTGTTCATGGTTTAAGTCCACTTCTTTTTAGTTACCAAATACTTAGCGTATGCAACTTGAGTTATGTGAGATTTTCATGGTTTTAAGAAGCATATGTTCTATGATTTACAAGAAGCTGTTAAATTTTGTAGCGTTTACCACCTGTGTTTATCGAGGTGATGGTTGGCAGGGTTTTGTGGTTTAGAAATCGGAAATTTTTTGGTTTTCGACTATGATGGTGACTCAAAGTTTGATGTCACAATTTATGAACCAACTGGCTGTGAACAGGATGTAGAAGCAGCCAAGAGGAGAAATGGTAATCCTGTTTCCTCTGTAAAAGATGAAATTGTTGACATTGAGACTGAAAACTACAACAAAGAAAGAACAAGTCGTAAGTTCTACTCCATCTTAAATCTACTTTTGAACAGCTAGGGAAGTTTTATGTGTGCTATTTAGTATTCACTCTAAGGGCCCGTTTATGTGCTTTTTCTTCTTAAACCGTGTCTCAATTTGGCATGTGCAGGCAAGTATGTCATGTCTGGGAAGAGACCTGCAAATGATGTAGAAGAAACATCAACTGGATCCATCTTGTTCGAATCGGAGAATTCATGTTTTGTAAAAACTTTGACTAAAAAACTATATCCAGTAGTGAGTCCTTTGTCATCCAACACGTAAGTCAATCATGTTTTCGAAAGCCCTTCAATGTTGTGGTTGGTAAATGGTAAAAGAGAACAAAACCTTGAGTCAAAATTATGTGACTTAAGATGAAATGTATGCAATAGAGTGTGCAGTAAGTTGTTGAAAAACTATCATAAAGACATCATTCTTGACAGTTCCACCATTTGTTAAGGGTATACAAAATTATAAGTTTTAGTATAGAGTACAAAATTTATGAATAAGTTTTTACTTTGATGTTCCAATTGCAGACAATTCCAAAGGAACGAGCCATAGCTGAAGGCCTTGTGAGGAAGAAGACTGTAAAGCTTCAAGATCCAGCTGGGAGATCATGGATTGTTAAACTTAGAGTCCACAAGTCCCATATCTTTGTTTCGACATGACGAAAGGTTGGGCAAAATGTTGTAGAGCAAACCAGATTTTACAAGGGGACACCATGGTTTTTGAGTTTGTGAAACCAAGTGTAATGCAAATTCATATCTACAGAGGAGCAAGAGTGGGAGGCAGTGGGTGTTCTGTTGTACTCATTAACCCGGGCCCGAAAACTTAGGCTATTTTTACTCTAGAGTTTCGCATTGCAATACTTTTAAAAAATGTTGACTGCAATCCATTTTGGTTAAGTGATGATCTTCTTGTATTTTATTTGGTTAGTTTTCATATTCCAGTCATTCTTCTGCTACTCTTTAGTGACTGAAATATTTAATGATTGTTTTACTTGATTGACTGAAATATCTTCTTGTCTAACATTTTGATGTTTTTCTCATCCTTGTTCAGCCATGTCATAAATCAGAGTTAGGGCGCCTCTGTTTTATTTTGGAATAAAGGGAATTCATGTCATAAATTCCCTTGCCGATTGCTTGCTAGGGCGCCTCTGTTTTTCTCAGCCTCTGTTTTTCTCAGAATAAAGGGTTAAAAGTTTATATGACATGGCTGAACAAGGATGAGAAAAACAGAGGCGCCCTAGCAAGCAATCGTCGCCTGTTCTGCGTTTCCCCTGCCGATAAAACTTACCCACAAAAGCTAGCTACACAGAAAACCCACGCCTAAAAAGCTTTGATCTTTGAAGGTTTCGTTGAAGACTGAAGACTTGGTTCAAATGGCAAGGAAACTTATGAAGCGTTCAGTAAAGAAAGAATCCTTTTTCAAGATCCTGCTTGGTGACTTCTCTAAGCATCTCATCTTTGCCTTCTTTTTTCACTTTTCAAGATCAATTTCTTTACAGTCTTGAACCGTATGCATGATTGCATGTTTTCTTTCTGTGTTTTTTTGGGTTCATACTTCAAGATTAATTGCGAATTTGAGTGAATGGTTAATAGTTAATACCTTGTTCATGATTCATATTTGGGTCAACTTCTTTTTTAGTGTGTTGTATGCTAGTATAGTTGCCATAAATTTTCTCTCAGACTTCTCTCACTCTCCCGGCAACCAAACATATGTAATTGTGATTTTATTCAGGATTGACCAATATAATTAAATAAGTTGACTTAATTATTTGACTCAAGCTTTGACCTTGAGATGACTTGAGTTGCTTTTCTGTGGATTGCTTGACAAATTGTGGGTGAGGATGTAATGGGAAATTACAACAAAGAAATGCTTGAATGATTTGGAAGGTTTTCAAAGAATTGCTTGAATGATTTCCAAGTGTTTGATTATTTTCCTGTATTAGTATTGCGATGCTATTAAGTTTGGATTATGTTTATTAAATGATTCTTGCTTTGTTTTAAGCACATGTACCGTGGTTTTTCAAAAGGCTATATTGAATTTTGCAGCGTATACCACCTGCGTTTATCAAGAATTTCAACGGAGGATCACTTCGCAAATGTTCTCTTAGAGGCCCGAGTGGGAAAGGTAGGACTGGAATTGGAAGGGAGAGAGAATGGCTTGTTCTTCTCTAAGGGTTGGCAGGGTTTTGTGTAGGATCATCATTTAGAAGTTGGGAATTTCCTGGTTTTCCGTTATGATGGTGAATCAAAGTTCAAAGTGACAATCTATGATAGAAGTGCCTGTGAGAAGGATGTAGAGGTAGCCAAGAGGGGGATTCGCAGTTCAGTTTCCATCGAAAGTAAAGGAAATCAAGTTAGAGTAAAAGAGGAAATTATAGACCTTGAAACTGAAAACTACAATGAAGACTGTGAAAACAAAACAAGTATTGCTAACAGAAGAAATCGTAAGTTATACTCTATTTTACTTCCCTACATCTAGGGAAGATTTGTATGTGTATTTTCTGTAATGGCTTTTTTTTCTCAACCTTCTCTTAATTATGTTTCAATTTGGTGATGAATAGGCAATGCCATGTCTGGAAAGAAACCTACAACTGATTATGTAGAGGAAACATCAAGTGAATGCATCTCACTCAAATCGGATAATCGATGTTTTATGGAAACTATGAAGAGGCATTACCGATATTGCTTGGTGAGTACTTTGTCACCAATTCTTGAGCCATTGTGTTTTTTGAGAACCTTTCCATATTTGGTTGGCTTAGAGTAAAAGATATATCTTTCTCTGGAGAAAACATAGTAAAAGAGTTGCAGTATGGAAGTTAATGGAAAAACATCGTCAATAAATTTTTCTTGAAGTTCTACCCCTTGTTAGGCTTGATTCTTTTCCCAGCTAATTTATCTTCGTAGGCTTGAACTTTTTTTGTCCTTAGATATCAATTATGTTCCAAATTGCAGATGATTCCGAAGAAAGTTGCCATAGCTGAAGGTCTTAAGAGTGCAAGGAATGTAACGCTTTGAGATCCAAATGGGAGATTATGGCTTGTTAAACTTGTAATCCGTCCCAAGACATCTTGCAAACGTGTGGAATTCACGACAGGTTGGGGAGAATGCTGTCAAGCGAACCAGATTTCAGTTGGGGACACTGGTTTTTGAGTTTTTCAAGCAAAGTGCAATTCAAGTACGTATATTTGGAGCAGTGAATGGCAAGAGGTGTCCTGTGGTACTTGATGCCCCAGTGGTGAAAATTAAAGCTAGCTGACTCTCGAGTTTCACATTGCAATGTTTTTATTAAAAAAAACAAAAAATGCTTTGACTGCAACATTTACTTTAGCATTTTGAGTAAACGATGGTTTTCTTGCATTGTATTATTGCGTTTGTTTCATTCCTCAGCCACTATTCGATTTCTCTGAATTTCCTGTCTAGTTGAATTTGTACAACGGGGAAAGCTATTAGGGGCGTATCTCATTTATTTTTCTCCAATCACATGGTCTTTTTTTGGCATGGCCATCTTTCCAGTTTTCCTGTAATATCCCACACTGGCCAACGGAGAGGGGGTGATATGCCTTATATGTACATACCCACCTCCATTTAGCACGAGGCCTATTGGAAGCTCACTAGCTTCGGAGTCATGGGAACTCCAAAGTTAAGCGAGTTAGGGCTAGAGCACTCCTAGGATGGGTGACCCACTGGGAAGTTACTCGTGAGTTCCCAAAAACAAAACCGTGAGGGTAGAGAGGGGGGGCCAAAGAGGACAATATTGTGCTACGACGGAGCCGAACCGTGATGTGACAGAATGGTATCAAAGCCACTCTGTCGTGTGATGCAAGTGTGCCGATGAGGACGTCGAGCCCCTAAGGGGGGTGAATTATAACATCCCACACTGGCCAACAGAGAGGGGGTGACGTACTTTATATGTATATCATGGGAATTCCGAAGTTAAGCAAGTTGGCGCTAAAGCAATCCCAGGATGGGTAACCCACTGGGAAGTTGCTCGTGAGTTCCCAGAAACAAAACTGTGTGAGCAGAGAGGGGGGGCCTAAAGTGGAAAATATAGTGCTATGGCGGAGCCAATCTGGGATGTGACATTTCCAGCCCAACCCATCTCATAATTAAAATTTGGGCGCTTGTTCTAGCTCACCAAGAGCAAAACAAACCAAGTTGGCCTAAAGATGGCATGGGCATGGCATGATTAAAATGTGCAAGGAATGACATGGTAACGTCGAGCCTGACATAATACATGAGTTAGGCCATTCGACTAGAATTTTTAACACATTAGGCACAGTACGAGCTCAGCACAAAATGAGCCCAAACTAGGCACGACTCATTATGCATTATGTTTTCCTTTCCTATAATGTTTATAAGAAAACTAAGTTTTCAAGCAAAAATAATCTTAGTGTTTGGGTATATAAAGGAAAATTAATAATAGGATAAATTTGAAACCCTAAACAAAACAAAATAAAGTTGAGCTTATAGGCCCAGCTCACTTAATGCATGACACAACACATGGCACAAGATTGACTAGGTTGTGGGCCATGCCGAGTCTAGATCTTAAGTAACTAGACCAATACAAACACGATTAAAGTAAATGGCCCAACACAAGCACGATTAAAGTAAATGGATCAACACACATACATCATGAAACAACAATTAACTCAACTTAAAGGAGTTGGGCCGATATGGTATAGCCCGTTTGACACTTTTAAATCCAACCTAGTTAATATTTAAACAACATGTATTTTGAAATTTCTTACTCAAAATGGGTGCATGTTGTTTGACAATTATAACTAGAGTAACAACAATAGAGAATAGATAAAACAAAAAAATATGAATGCATTAAATAGTATTTATATTATAGTTGATGTGTAAACCGGGGAATTTGATGTGGGAGCTCACTGGTTTCGGAGTCATGAGAACTCCAAAGTTAAGCGAGTTGGGGCTAGAGCAATCCCAAGATGGGTGACCCACTAGGAAGTTGCTCGTGAATTCCCAGAAACAAAACTGTGAGGGTGGAGAAGGGGGCCCAAACGGAACAATATCGTGTTATGGTGAAGCCGATTTGGGATGTGACAAAATGATATCAAAGCTACTCTGCCATGTGGTGCGAGTGTGCCGACGAGTCGGGCCCCTAAGGGGGGTGAATTGTAACATCCCACACTAGCTAACAGAGAATGAGTTCTGTGCCTTATATGTACATGCCCACCTTTATCTAGTACGAGGCCTTTTGAGAGCTCGTTGGCTTCGGAGTCATGGGAGCTCTGAAGTTAAGCAAGTTGGGGCTAGAGCAATCCCAGGATGGGTGAACCACTGGGAAGTTGCTCGTGAGTTCCCAGAAACAAAACTGTGAGGGCAGAGAGGGGGGGCCCAAAGAGGACAATATCATGCTACGGCAAAGTGGATCCAGGATGTGACATTTCCAGCCCAACCCAGCTCATAATCAAAATTTGGGCGCTTGTTCTAGCTCACCAAGAGGTGTCAAAACAAACCAAGTTGGCCTGAACATGGCATGATTAAAATGTGCAAGGAATGGCATGGTAACGTCAAGCCTAACATAATACATAAGCTAGACCGTTCGACAAGAATTTTTAACGCATTAGGCACGGTATGAGCTCAGCGCGAAATGGGCCCAAACTAGACATGAAATGGGCCCAAACTAGGCACGACTCATTATGCATTATGTTTTCCTTTCCTATACAAAATGTTTATAAGAAAACTAAGTTTTCAAGCAAAAATAATCTTAGTGTTTGAGTATATGAAGGAAAAATAATAATAGGACAAATTTGAAACCCTAAAAAAACAAAATAAAGTTGAGCTTGTAGGCCCAGCTCACTTAATGCATGACACAACACATGGCACAAGACTGACTAGGTTGTGGGCCATTCCGAGTCTAGGTCTTAACTAACTAGACCAATACAAACACGATTAAAGTAAATGGGCCAACACGCAAACATCATGAAACAACAATTGACTCAACTTAAAGGAGTTGGGCCAATATGGTATAGCCTGTTTGACACTTTTAAATCCAACCTAGTTAATATTTAAACAGCATGTATTTTGAAATTTCTTACTCAAAATGGGTGCATGTTGTTTGACAATTATAGCCAGAGTAATAACAATAGAGAATAGGTAAAAAAAAAAAAAAATGAATGCATTAAATAGTATTTATATTATAGTTGATGTGTGGACCAGGGAAGGTGAGATGAGAAGCTAAGGATCCTATGCTGGTACTTGCATTATTGACGTTGTTAGGGATAAGGTTACCTCAACAACGTCAATAATGCAACCAGTGCACAAGATTTGATGAGCCCAAATGCCCAAAAGACGTCCAAATTATATAAAACAAACAAGTACCCAAGAGTCAGTGTCTCAGAAGAATTTAGTAACATGATGAAAGCATTCATGAGGTGATGAGCGGTAAAAGAATCCCATGATGATTGTGGTGACCCACTGGGAAGTTGCTCGTGAGTTCCCAGAAACAAAACCGTGAGGGCAGAGAGGGGGCCCAAAGGGGACAATATCATGCTACGGCGGAGCCGATCCGGGATGTGACATTTCCAGCCCAACCCAGCTCATAATCAAAATTTAGGCGCTTGTTCTAGCTCACCTAGAGGTGTCAAAACAAACCAAGTTGGCCTGAAGATGGCATAGGCATGGCATGATTAAAATGTGCAAGGAATGGCATGGTAACGTCAAGCCTGACATAATACATGAGCTAGACCGTTCGACCAGAATTTTTAACGCATTAGGCACGGTACGAGCTCAACACGAAATGGGCCCAAACTAGGCACGAATCATTATGCATTATGTTTTCCTTTCCTATACAAAATGTTTATAAGAAAACTAAGTTTTCAAACAAAAATAATCTTAGTGTTTGAGTATATGAAGGAAAAATAATAATAGGATAAATTTGAAACCCTTAAAAAACAAAATAAAGTTGATGTGTGGACTGGGGAAGGTGAGATGAGAAGCTAAGGATCCTATGCTGGTGCTTGCATTATTGACGTTGATGGGGGTAAGGTTACCTCAACAATGTCAATAATGCAACCAATGCACAAGATTTGCTGAGCCAAAATGCCCAAAAGACGTCCAAATTATATAAAACAAACAAGTACCCAAGAGTCAGTGTCTCAGAAGAATTTAGTAACAAGATGAAAGCATTCATGAGGTGATGAGCGGTAAAAGAATCCCATGTTGGTTGTGGTTGATGTTGATCTCAATTTCCTTCTCCATTTTTGAGCAAATCACTTTCACCAAGCAATGTACAAAAAGAGAAAATGAAACTTGGCTAACACCAACACATAGGTAGCAAGCTGGCTTTCTCAATTACTTGGTTTCCATCAAATACACATTTAAGGCAAGAGTATGGGGAAGCTCCATTGGATATGTGAACCCCATATTGAGTATATGATGTGTTCTCATTCAAGGAGTGCACATGCAAGTCAATTTAGAATCTTCAATTTCAAATGTATGGATTTGGAAGAAAGTGAAAAGTTATGAATAGGCATTGAAATAAGGCAAAAAGTCACTTTTGGTCCTTGTAGTTTGCCACTTTTACCACTTTGGTCCCTGTCGTTTCAATTTGGTCAATTTTGTCACTATGGTTTCAATTTGAAGCAATTCAAGTACAATTCTCAATTTCTGTCAATTTCTTTTAACTTATGTTGCTTGTGGAGGGGCAATTCAGTCCACAAATTATTAGAATATCATACCCTAATTCACTATGGGACCCACCCACTAAAAACCTTTAAAATACATATAGATATAAAATAATAAATAAAATAAAACATTTAAAAAATCTACCCAGACCGCAGTCCTTCCTTGTCCAACAACAACCCAACGCCTCCCCGATGTTCCCCACCTCTTCTCATCGACGCACAGCTGTACCCACCCCAACCCCTCCCTCTCTTCGTCTCTCTCTCTCTCTCTCTCTCTCTCTCTCTCTCTCTCTCTCTCTCTCTCTCTCTCTCTCTCTCTCTCTCTCTCTCTCTCCGTCCATTTTTTTGCCTTTTAGACGTTGACCCCTGGAAGGAAAATTCCTGGATCCGCGCCACTATGTATAGTAACATATCGTTGTCCCCTAAAGAGATTTCTGTTCCGAAGAGTCTAACAAATCTTATATAATATAAAACCCTATATCCCTGCCTACCAAAGTCACAGCCTTTGCCTCCTTATTTATTAGGGTCAAATAGCATTTTTGTAGTGTATTTTGTTAGAGAATTATCATGGAGGCAGACGGCCATGGCGTTCAACAAGGAAGAAAATGGGGGCGGTGGAATAAACTGTTGGACATGGAGGAGGCCAAGAATCAGGTCTTGTTTTTCTTGCCAATGATTCTTACCAATGTTTGCTATTACACGATCCACTTGATATCTGTCATGTTTGCTGGTCACCTTGGTGAGCTTGAGCTTGCTGGTGCCACACTTGCCAATTCATGGGCCACCATTACCGGTTTCGCTCTCATGGTAACTCTCTCTCTCTCATGTCCTCATTTTTTTTAGAAAATTCAAAGCCAAAGGCCGACCCATGAGTCGGGCTTGAGAAAGCCCATTGGGCCAGGCCGGGCCTAAACGGGCCTACTTCATTAAAAAAAAATCATAAACTTAATCATAACATTTAATTATGTTTATTTGCTTATCACATTCGCCTTAACTTTACCGGTTGCAACAACTTATGTGGAGAGAGTATTTTCTGCTATGAATATTGTGAAATGTCCACTTTACAATCGAATGGGAGATCAATGGTTTAGTGATAGCTTACTTATTTACATTGAGAAAGATGTGTTTATTTGTATTGATAATGACTCTATAATGCAACGTTTTCAGAGTATGAAAACTCGTTGTGGACAATTGTAATATGATTTTTTTCTATTAAATAAGAATTGTAATATTATCGTTTCATTTTTTTTGGTTCTATTTTGTGTAGAATTTTTTTGCCTTTTAGACGTTGACCCTTGGAAGGAAAATTCCTGGATCCGCGCCACTATGTATAGTAACATATCGTTGTCCCCTAAAGAGATTTCTGTTTCGAAGAGTCTAACAAATCTTATATAATATAAAACCATATATCCCTGCCTACCAAAGTCACAGCCTTTGCCTCCTTATTTATTATGGTCAAATAGCATTTTTGTAGTGTATTTTGTTAGAGAATTATCATGGAGGCAGACGACCATGGCGTTCAACAAGGAAGAAAATGGGGGCGGTGGAATAAACTGTTGGACATGGAGGAGGCCAAGAACCAGGTCTTGTTTTTCTTGCCAATGATTCTTACCAATGTTTGCTATTACACGATCCCCTTGATATCTGTCATGTTTGCTGGTCACCTTGGTGAGCTTGAGCTTGCTGGTGCCACACTTGCCAATTCATGGGCCACCATTACCGGTTTCGCTCTCATGTCCTCATTTTTTTAATAAAATTCAAAGCCAAAGGCCGACCCATGAGCCGGGCTTGAGAAAGCCCATTGGGCCAGGCCGGGCCTAAAAGGGCCTCCTTCATTAAAAAAAAATCATAAACTTAATCATAACATTTAATTATGTTTATTTGATTATCATATTCGCCTTAACTTTACCGGTTGCAACAGCTTATGTGGAGAGAGTATTTTCTGCTATGAATATTGTGAAATGTCCACTTTACAATCGAATGGGAGATCAATGGTTTAGTGATAGCTTACTTATTTACATTGAGAAAGATGTGTTTATTTGTATTGATAATGACTCTATAATGCAATGTTTTCAAAGTATGAAAACTCATCGTGGACAATTGTAATATGATTTTTTTCTATTATATAAGAATTGTAATATTATCGTTTCATTTTTTTTGGTTCTATTTTGTGTAGAATTTTTTTGCCTTTTAGACGTTGACCCCTGGAAGGAAAATTCCTGGATCCGCGCCACTATGTATAGTAACATATCGTTGTCCCCTAAAGAGATTTCTGTTCCGAAGAGTCTAACAAATCTTATATAATATAAAACCCTATATCCCTGCCTACCAAAGTCACAGCCTTTGCCTCCTTATTTATTAGGGTCAAATAGCATTTTTGTAGTGTATTTTGTTAGAGAATTATCATGGAGGCAGACGGCCATGGCGTTCAACAAGGAAGAAAATGGGGGCGGTGGAATAAACTGTCGGACATGGAGGAGGCCAAGAACCAGGTCTTGTTTTTCTTGCCAATGATTCTTACCAATGTTTGCTATTACACGATCCACTTGATATCTGTCATGTTTGCTTGTCACCTTCGTGAGCTTGAGCTTGCTGGTGCCACACTTGCCAATTCATGGGCCACCATTACCGGTTTCGCTCTCATGGTAACTCTCTCTCTCTCATGTCCTCATGTTTTTTAGAAAATTCGAAGCCCAACGCCCACCCATGGGCCGGGCTTGAGAAAGCCCATTGGGCCAGGTTGGGCCTAAACGAGCCTACTTCATTCAAAAAAAATCATAAACTTAATCATAAAGGCATTTTAGTCCAAATTTGAGATTAAACTCACTTAATTCCAATATTTTCACATCAAACCAAATTCATAAAACACTCAATAAAGTCACACAACTTAATAAGATTTTCCACAAAAATAATAAAACAAAGTATTATTTTTGAGGTTAGTACATAATTAGACCGTAATACGTTTTAAAAAATAATAAGTATGAAATTTTTTTATTATTTAAAGGATGGTATGAATAAATATGCAAATATTTTGTGGTACGATTATATTTCGTGATATGATTATATTTCGTGATGTGATATGTTGTTCATCTTATTTTTATATATATATATAATTGTTGAATTAATAATTGACACAAATTAATGTGCTAATCATCTAATTATAAACTAGGAATGAGTAAAGAAAAGTAAATGAAATGAAACAAATTATATATGGAATTTAAGTGATATAATCCTAAACCTAAACTCTTATTTATACATAATTATATATGTACGCAGGCGTAACGGGCCGGGCTTTTGTGGGTGGGCCGGGCCGGGCTTTCTTTGGCTGGGCTTCAAACACCCAAGCCCAAGCTTAGCCCAGACAAAGGCAAGAAAGGCCATCTCAAAGCCCATAACGGGCCTGGCCGAGCTTTTTTTCGATGGCCCGGGTGGGCCTCCATCGGCCCATGAGCCCGCAGGCCAAATGATGAGGCCTACACACTTAGACAAAGACAGCCCAACCCAAGAATTGGTTATGATCCCAACCCTTATAACCCAACTTACCATCTAGAATAGCCCACTATCCACGTGCAATAATAAACCAATGTGGGTAGAGTTCCCAATCAGAAAGGTGACACAACAAACTTACAGGAATGAAAAATGTCTAAAGAAAGCCCTAGTCCCTTCTTTGCCAAAAAAACACTCTATAACCATTTTCACTTTGAGGGGGAGGAAGTCATTGTTCTTCCTCCCCTCTCCTCTTCTCTCTTCCGCTCCTTTCCCCTTCTCCCCCATTTTCAGAGTTTGTTTTCATTTTGTAATAATTTTCCTCACTCATCACAAGCGGATGCATCTCGGCATTCGATCTCTACCTTCGTTTCAGTGTTGGATCTCTACCACCATCCTTTATGCGATTTCTTCATGTTTGGAATAAGTTGCAAAGACTCTTTGAGTTTTTCTGTGTAGTTTTCACCTCTCATTTGTGAGAGCTTTCCACCTCTCTTTTGTGAGAGTTTTATTTGTATTGTTATAGCTTGGTTTTTTCAAGCTTTATCTATTTTTGGTTGTTTTGAGTTTGCCCTCTTAGTTGGGATGCATATGTCAGAGTTTCTTTGATCTTGCGTGATCGTTAGTGGAGGATCCCTAGAGTGTCTTAATTTTAATGTTAGATCGCTCTGTTATTGTAATGGCCCTTTGTGTCTAATGGTTTTTTTGGGCTGAATTATTCAATGCAATCCCATAATTTCTCAACAACAAAAAAGGTTCAATTTTAGTATTTATAAGTTCATCAAACGTGTGACATGACTTTTGTTCAATTTAACTAAAATAGCACAGTCCAAGCCATCAAGCGTGGCTTATTGCTCTTAAGTGATCAAATTAGAAATACCAATAATGTTGGATCAAGACTAGTCTTTTATGTTCACGATAGTTCGTTTCCCCAATAAATATATGAGTCGTGATTCAAAAATATAAGTCGGGATATGCCTCGCTTGGAATATTAAAGTTTTTCTTTGTTTCTTATGAAAATGCCTTTTTCTTCAAAGATTTGGCCCATCCTTGAATTTTTTTTGGTCAAAAGGAAATTTCATTACTAAAGAAAGATTATAAAACGATATAGTTACGTAAAGTAAACTCAAAATAATTAGGTTAGGTTAGAGAAATGTAGGAGGCACATAGTACTTTTTTTAAAGATTCAAAGAAATACATGATCCAGTTCCTCCATCCACGCAAAATGAGCCCAAAATGCCTAAAATCCAAACAAAAGGCGACACCAGACATTTGCTTCAGAGAGAGCTTAGGTCTTGCGCATATAAAGTTGCCACAAAGGGCCATGTTAACTTCCATACCAAGTTTCCAACCCTAGAGAATTAACATGCCTTATTGCAACGTAAATTATGTGTCATTTCCTATAAAGTCTTCAAAAATAAATAGCAAGGCATGGAGAAAGAAACAGATGTTAATTACAGAAAATTAAAAGAAAATACAACAAAACGAAGCAACACATGTGGATGGACTGTCTGTGGGGATCGCTGCTCTACTTTCAAAACCGCCTAATCAATAATAATTTATTCATTTGTGAAAATCTTTGAGAGCTCTCATCTATTATTATTAATTTTGAAGAAAATTCAAAGTTGTAAGTTCGTAACATCAAACAGAAGACAGTTTGTGTAAACTTGTTTTTTTGGCATGAAGTTTGTGTGAAGACGTTGATAGATATAGTATGTTCTCTTGGCTCTTGTTACACTAGTTCCTCTTGGGTTTTCCACACAGTTCTTAATCTTTGTACCTTTTTTGTTGTTGTGTGTTAATGTGGCATTTAGGGTCCACTTGGATGGAGTGACTTCAAATCTAGAAATTTCGATGATTTATAAGGTTAAACTGTTTGTTTGGACTACTACGTACAGTTCATGTATACCACGATTTCAAATCCAATTCAAATAGGAAAATACTTCCCTCCTTATCATGTATGCATGAGTTTCTACGTTCTTGTCAATAACAATGTGACATGTGTGCATAAATTTTTATTTTCGTATTTTTGATGAATTATTTTTGCATATGTGTCAAACTGTGATTTGTAATAATAATAATAATAATAATATATATATATATAAAGCAAAAGGCAAAGAATGGTGAAACATTCAAAATTGGCCTGTTCTGCATTATATGATGCCTTTCTCTATCTTACCTATGGTCTACCAGTCATTCCAACCACCATCATTAATCAGTTTCCTTAAAAACATTTGCGCAATGCATGAAAATGGAATTAAATTATGTGCCTTCTTAGAGTACTGGCCGAAGACCATACTGGGGTCAACCCCAGGCCTCAGTAACCTACTTGTTGCAAATCTAATTTATTTTCTAATTTTTTTAAGGGAGTTTCACTAAAACACCCAAAATGGGGGCTGAAATTATAAAAAAAACCCAACACCCAAAACACTTTATAAACACACCCAAAACCCATCATTACACACACTCAAAACCCATTTATAAACACACCCAAAAAATATACAATTGTTAATTTTGTGGTTGATTTTGGGGTGTGTTTCTATGTTTAAATAGTGCTTGGGTTTTTTTATAAATACATGTCTAAGATTGAGTTTATTTATAAATTTGTATTTTTTTAATTTATCAAATTTAACTCTATTATCAAATCAAAATCCTTTATTTCAACTCCTCCATTTGAACTGTCAGGAAAAAAAAAACAAGAAGACAAAAGCTTGGTGTACAGTGTATTGATGGAGATGACAATCACAATACGACTCTCTAATTGTGTCATAAGTGTGTATTGTGTTCTCAGACAGTTGTTGCATGTGGCTAGCGACTACTAGCCGTAGCGTCTAAATTATTTCTTCCCCAATCCAAAGTGCAGCACGAATTATAATTGATTGTGAATCGGTCGGATTTATGTTTGTACAAGTCCTGCTATTTAATTTCTGACAATATGATCCTGACTAACATTATGTTTGACACCTGTAAATTTATCTCTTGTGCAGTATATATTAATCTTCCACGTGATAAAACCAAAGAATAAAATGAAAATATAAAAATATTAGTCTTTAAATGGCGGTAGGAAATCCCAGTTTTTGAATGGTACCTTCTAATTTAGCCTCTTGACATCCAGAAAAAATTATAAGAAAACAAGAAGAAGAAGAAAACTAGAGAAGAAGAAGAAGTAGATGGCAATGTTAGCGAACACAGATTTAGAAAGGATAAATGAAACTACTAGGGTACCCTTAATAGAGGGTCATGGAGATGAAGGAGGAGCAAACAAAACAAGCTGGTGGAAGAAAGTGTTGGACGTGGAGGAGGTCAAGAAACGGGTCTTGTTTTCATTGCCAATGATTTTTACCAATCTTTTCTACTATTTGATCACTTTGGTGTCAGTCATGTTTGCTGGCCATCTTGGGAAGCTTGAGCTTGCTGGTGCAACCCTTGCCAATTCACGGGCCATTGTTACTGAAAGAAGAGCAAGAAGAAGGAGAAATTTAGGTTTTGTAAGAATTGAAATTGTATATTCGATGATTATGAGATTGTACAGTTGTCTATATATATACACTCGAAATGGAAATATCTAGACTAAAGTTTGTTACAGGAAAGATGGAGATATTGACAAGTGTACAGTAGTGATGAAGCTTAGCTGTTTCCTCCTTTCTTTCTCGAACTTAGTCTGCTGTGCTCAATTCTATTCTTTGTTGTGTGCTCTTGATTTGTTGTTCTAGAAGACAAAGGCTGTATGAGAGTGATCTTTGTGTGTTCTTCATTGCTCTGTTTATCAGTTACTGGTTTTGCTTTCATGGTAACTCTCTCTCTCTCTCTACCCTCTGACCCTTATATACTCAGTATGATTGCAGACCTTTGCGTTTAATTCTTTTCTTGTCTGTTCTTGTTTTAGGTTGGGTTAAGTGGAGCTCTTGAGACGCTTTGTGGACAAAGGTTTGGTGCAAAGTTGTATAAAATGTTGGGTATCTATCTACAAGCCTCTTGCATCATATCTTTCCTATTCTGTTTCATCATATCTATAATCTGGTTCTACACAGAACCTATACTTATTTTACTCCATCAAGATCCTCAAATTTCCAAGTCTGCTGCTGTTTTTATGAAATTTCTGATTCCAGGGTTATTTGCATATGGATTCCTGCAAAACATCTTGAGATTTCTTCAGGCACAATTTGTTGTCCTGCCATTGGTCTTCTCGTTCGTCCCCCTTGTTATTCATTTCGGCATTGCTTATGGTTTGGTACATTGGACAGCTCTTGGTTACAAGGGAGCTCCACTTGCGGCTTCAATTTCCCATGGGAAGGTTTTTCGTTAGAATCGTTCCATTATGTCCTTACTGATTTGAAACTTGCCCTCCCCTCAGCACTAATGGTATGGTAAGTGTCAATGCTTTCATTACTTCTATAAAGTTCACAATGCTTAATTAAGCTTGGTGGAAAACCTTTTCAGCATCAGGTTAAAAACCATTACGTAGTAAGATATCGTACTTACAGTGAAAGGACATTTAAACCCAATTATTATCCAAATTAGCACTCTGACCTGATTGAATTCAAGGGCTGGACTGTGGACGTATAGCATCAATTGAGGGTTTGAACTCTTGAAGTATTAACTCAGATGCTGGCATGCTGCCCTACAACTATAGCATAGCAGCATTATTATCTATAGGAGTATGAGATAGAATTTGCATGGTTAAACTTCACAAACTTTTTTAACCTTTCCAGTTTGGAGGAATGGGTTTTTGAGATTCTGGTGTTGATGGGAGGATTGATGCCAAACTCGGAAGAAATAACTTCACTAATGGCGATGTCGTAAGCTTCAATATACTTTTTCTTCCTCTCCTTTTCTATAGCTGTTATAATATTGCAGGCTGACTCAATTAGTCTTTCTTTGAATATTATCTCGTCAGTGTGAATACAGAAGCAATTGCATACATTATTATATATGGCCTCAGTGCTGCTGCAAGGTTGGTGGTAGAACAACAATCCAGCTTTTTATATTGCTCCAAGTTTTTCGATATCGAGATTCTGTTTCGCACATTGAAACAAAAGTTACTTGTTGTGGTGTAGCACAAGGGTGTCAAATGACTTGGGAGCTGGCAATCCTGACAAAGCTAAGAAGGCAATGGCTGTGACTCTTAAGCTCTCTATGCTTCTTGCTTTCGTTCTTGTTCTCACTGTTGTGGTCGGTCACAATATCCGGGTCAGCTTCTTCAGTGACAGCCACATAATAGCAGAGCAATTTGCTTCCATGGTGCCTTTGCTTGTAATTTCAATAATTGTAGATTCTGTGCAAAGTGTTTTATCAGGTTAAGATCATCTACTTTTCTAGTAGGGGCAGTAGTTCAACTTTGCTTTTTCCCATTTGAACATTGTTATCTTTTCCTAACTTCTCCATGAAAGTGATTGCCTGTCTTTCAGGTGTGGCCAGAGGATGTGGATGGCAACACTTGACTGTGTATGTAAACATTGTCACATTCTATTTGATTGGCATGACAATTTCCAGTCTTCTTGGGTTTAAGTTCAAACTACATGCCAAGGTACGTAAGACAACACCAGAAAGTTGATTTGGTGTGTTTGTTTTGTTGTTGTTTTTTTTTGTCCTTTTCAATTCACATTTGGTGCCTTTTTGGTGCTTGATTTTGTTACAGGGCTTGTGGATTGGTTTAACCTGTGGTCTCTCCTGTCAAGCTGCCACAGTTTTGTATATTACACAGAGCACAAAGTGGACTGTGTTGGATTTATCTGATATTGCAGAGAGAGAAAAGCCAGTTTTGGTGTAAACAAGTAATACCACTTGGGCCAACTGTGAGACTAGTTTGTGCATTGCCTTTGTGGTGTGTTGGAGTAAAGCCGAAAGCATGTACTTTGTTAACAAATTTTTATGCCCTTAAATTTGACTTAGCTTTGAAAGCACAAATGCCCTTAAATGAAAGAACCTCCGATGCATGATTAATTATTTCTCACTACTTGAGTTACATGCTTCTTTCCACAAATCACACATCTTAACATGGAAAATTACGATACTTCTTAATGGGCAGATTCTACTTGACCACGCTAAACTGTTATTAAGTGAATCAAAGGGTGAAGAGCCATTTTCTTGGCCAAAGGTAATAAAAAGACAAATTTCTGTTCAAAGTGACTTGAGACATTACAATGAGGATGTAATAATCTCTTCTGAGTCACTCATTTAAATAATCTTACTCCTTTCAACCATTCTCAATACAAATCTTAATTATATCCAAGAACTATAAAAGTTATCTTATGCATCTCCAGCATAGTTGCTATACTCTGATCCTTACCCATTTTGGCGAGAATGAGCGCAAAATGCAGCTCCAATAGACTTGGTATCTGACTCTCCATTTTGGAGAACTCCCTATTTGAGTTTGGTGGCTCTCTATATTTATGGCATGTTTATTAATCCGTAATTGAATTAGGAGGAATTGAATTGAGAAGGAGTTGGATTGAGGGGAATTAGATTCCGGATTCCTATTGAAGTTGTTTACTAAACCATATGGATTAAGGAGAGTTAGATTCTGGATTCCTATTGAAGTTGTTTACTGAACCATATGGAATTGGGGTAGGATTGGTACTAATTACTAAAATGTCCCTATTGTTGGGTTAAAGTAGATGAAAAATTTGGAACTTTTAAAATTGTGTGAGGATATAATGGGTAAAAAAGATGAATTCCTAATAGGTTAGTTATCCATAAATTAGAATATCATCTCCCATCCAATAATTGAATTCCTCCAAAATCAGGAATTCAATTCCTAATTTTGTGTGGCCCCATTTACTTTTTAATTCCTTGATGTGAAGTAAACGCATGAACCCTTAATAGGTGGAATTCAATTCCTGATGAGAATTACAATTCCTAATTAGTAAACACACCATTAAAGAAGAGGAGAGAGAAATTGATGGTTCTCCATTCCTTCCTCTTCTCTCTCCCTAGGCCCACAACCCTCTCTAGCCTCTTACTTTTTTATTTTTTTAATGAATTTTTAATTTTAGTTACTCAAATATTTAACATTTAGGAAATAATAAAATATTATAGATTAGCCAAAATAGAAAACATTACTTAAGGAAATAATTTTAAGTAGTTTGCTATAAAAGCTTTTTAGCTGTTTTAACTAAAATTTGGCTAAAATTTAGATACTCTCCTGGAGATGGTCCTATCTTAATCCTTAAAAAAGTGGAACACTCAAGAAACCTGAATGATTGCATACACAAGGTTAAGCCTTTAAATTGCTATGTTTATAGTAAGTTATATTACGAGTTGGAACCAAAGACGCTCGTCTACAAGTTAATGCCTTTTTCTACTGGGCTAGACCACATTAACTAAAAAATTTCTCTTTGAGCCATAAGGAAAAACATTATATTAAAAAAAAATTTAAACCAAAAACCAAAAAAACCCCAACACTTCTCTTTTAGGAAGATTCACTATTATACCCAATATATTTGCCCAAATTATTTATAAAAAAAATATATGAAATGGACTTTAAAAACACAATCAAGGCCCATTTACAACATAATAAATAGGTTTTTAACTTCTTATAAATTACAAAACTGTCATCAATCTCTTAAAACAAACTCAATCCCAACCCCAAAACCTTATAAATAAAAAAATTCAAAAACACTCAATAGGACATCAAAGTAATTTAATAATCAAAATTAAATTCAATAGGGTCATCTATTATTTTTTGAATTTGTTTATATAAATTAATAGTGTAAGATTTATTTATATCATTAGTGCTAATAATGGATATATGACTAAATATCTCTTTTATTTAACGCAACCCAAGACATATATATAAGTGTATGTTATACACAAGCGGCCAGAAGAAACATGAAAATACCAAATTTAAAAATAAAATAAAAAATGCTTTGGAGGATCTGATTCTGAAGCAACAGCCTCCAAAATAAAGATCAGAGATTCAGAAAAGTTGTTTGCTTTTTTCAAGGGTTGGAATGGCAAGGAAACTCGTTAAGCCTTCGCTAAATAAGCAATCTTTCTTCAAGATCCTACTTGGTGACTTCTCTCAGCGTCTGGTAACATCCCGCCTTCTTTTTTACTTTAAGTTCAAGATCAATTACGAACTGCTCTCTGTTTCTTTTAGTATGGTTCGTTTTTCAAGATTAATCTTCAGCATGCGTTCAAGTCTAGTCAATTTGTTAGCTTCTGAATGATGCCCGTGATTTTTATTTGAAGGTTAATACCCTGTTCATGGTTCATGTTTGAGCACACTGTTTTAGTCCACACTAAACACAATGGGGGAATTTTTACTTCATAGAAATAAATTACTTTCTCACACCTATTCATGCATATTGTAGGCTATGTTCATGATAGTGAGACAATAACTGAACAGGGTTAGGTCAGTTCTCCAGGGAAGTGTCCTTTTCATCCAAGTTTGAGTCCCCTTCGTATAAATTTGATTTATTTAGAGTAATTTAGACTAAAGAAAAAAAAACTGAACATATGTGATTGTTTGGATTTTAAAAAAGCTATTAAATTTTGTAGCGTATACCACCTAAGTTTGTCAAGAACTTCAATGTACGGCCACTTCACAAATGTGCTCTCAGTGGCCCTAGTGGAATTCGGTGGACTGTGGAATTGGAAGAGAGAGAGAATGGCTTGTTCTTCCAAGATGGTTGGCAAGGGTTTTTGAAGGATCATCATTTAGAAGATGGGGATTTTTGGTTTTCAAATATGATGGTGAATCAAAGTTTAAAGTCACAATCTATGATAGAACTGCTTGTGAGAAGAATGTAAAGGTAGCTGAGAGGAGTGGCTGTCCTGTTTCCTTGGCTAACAAAGGGAAAGCTCAAGTTAAAGAAGAAATTGTTGACCGTGAAACTAGAAACTACAACAAAAACTGTCAAAACAAAGTAATTGTTTCTGGCAGAAGAAGTGGTAAGTTATACTCTATTTTACTTCTCTACATCTAGGGAAGATTGTTTGTGTTATTTTCTCTAGCAGCTTATTTACTTTTTTCTTCTTAAATTGTGTCTCATATTGGTACTGTATAGGCAATTATGTTATACCTGCGAGGAGACCTGCAAATGATCATGTAGGAGCAACATCAACTGAACCCGTCTTGTTTAAACCGAAGTATTCATGTTTCATAGTAACTTTCACGAGGAAACTTCGATATGGCGTTGTGAGTACTTTATTACCCAATTCTTAACCCAATTTTGTTTTTAAAACTTCCCTCGTTGTGATTGTAAATAGTAGGAGATCTTTAAAATACCTTTTTAAGATTATGCAACTCAATGAAGATGAAATGTAATAGAGTTGCAGTATGGAAGTTATGGAAAAACATTTTCTAGAAGTCATTCTTGAAAGTTCTACCATTTCTTAGGGGTGCACTAACTTCTTAGGCTTGAGTACAAAATTTATGAACCATTCAAGTGAAAATGCTTCTAGCAGGAAAGTGTTATAATTTTTTTCTCCTTGATATCGATGATGTTCCAAATTGCAGTCAATTCCCAAGGAAGTAGCCGTAACTGAAGGTCTTCTTAGCAAGAAGAGTATGATGATTCAGGATCCAACTGGGAGATCATGGCCTGTTAAACTTAGAGTCCGGGGCAAATTATCTTCTTGTCGTGTGAACATGTCTACAGGTTTATTAGACTGTTGTAACGCAAACCAGATTATACCCGGGGACACCGCCATTTTTGAATTTGTCAAGCCAAGTCTGGCACAAGTTCATATTTTCAGAGTGGGTGGCAATTCTGTGGTACTAGCTGCACCTGATGTAAAAGACTAAAGCTAGCCAACTCCAAAGCCTCACCTTGTAATACTTTCTGGAAATGTTTTGACTGCAATATCCACATATCTATTTTAGTGCGTGCGAAATATTTTCTGATTGTTGTGCTTTAGATTTCTCTCTTGTAAATGTGATGCAGATGCACTTGGATTGAGACAGTTGAGTTTATATAACTCGGTGGTTGTGTACATGTAAAGTAGAGTATTTTGTCTTTCGGTAACCATGTTCCTTGTCCTTGTTCAGAGTTTTCTTCTTCTTCTATATAGTTAGATTGGTAACCACGTTTCATAATCCAAAAATGGAAAAATCAAAACCATCCTTATGTTATTTGGTTCTAAACAGAGCCCATATCTGTCACTCCATCAAGCCAGATCCTGCTAATTTACCACCATTGGCTCATCTTTGTTTGTCTCATTTAACACATACACTAAAAATTATGATTTTATTTAAGGGAGCTGATTTCCCCACTCCTTTTTTCTCCACTTACACTCTTTTTTGCTTTTTAATACTTTTTAATCAATTTTTTTCATTCTCTTTCCTATTCTACCCTTACTCTATATTAATTCTTTTTTAATTCACTTTTATATTATTTCTTTTTCTTTATACTTAATTTTCAAACTTACTCCATTTTCAGTATTAAAGGAAGAAAAAAAACTTAATTTCTTACTCAATTAAAGGAAAAAAAAATTTAAAAATGGAGTGCAATTTTGAAAATTAAGTACAAAGAAAAAGAACTAATATAAAAGTGAAGTAAAAAGGAATTAATGGAGGGGAAGGGAAGAATAGGAAAGATAATGAACAAAATTGATTAAAAAGTATTAAAAAGTAAAAGGGAGTGTAAATGGAGAAAAAGGGAGAAATACAATAAATAAAGTAACAGTTTGACCTAAATGACAATTCTCATAGGGACCACCCTTCCTATGTATTGCAAGGGGTAAAAGTTTAGGAAGGATTTGGTTTTTGCCGAGACAGGGCCCTGCCCGAAGTCCAATGGGTCAATCCGTTTAAATCTCATTTAA